TCTATTTGAAAAGCAAAGTATACCATAAGACGCAGCATGAAAAGTTCAATAAGTTACATTGAAAACCTTATTTTATACATGCACTCTTTGTTTTCAAAATGGACGAAATTCTGTGCGACCAATTTTTGACGCTGCAAACAAGATCAGTTTTTGGTACACTACGAATTCATTTTTTCTTATTTCATCTTTTTATCGCCTAATATGTTGTATTAAAAGAAAAGAAAATATACTGCAAGATGCAGCGTGAAAAGCTCTACAATCTACAAAGAACAGTTTATTTTATATATATGCATCTTTTGTTTTTATAATAAGCAAAGTTCTGTGCAACCAAAAATGATCTTGTTCGCAGCGTCGAAAATTGGTCGCATAGAACTTTGTCCATTTTGAAAACAAAGAGTGCTTGCATAAAATAAGGTTTTTAATGTAACTTGTAGAGCTTTTCATGTTGCATCGTATGGTATTCTTTACTTTTAAAATAATGTGCTTGGCGTTAGAAAAAAGAGATACAAACATCGGACACTTATGAGACATCCGTCAGCTTTGAAAGTTGGGTACTTTTAATGTGTCGGATAATCTTCGTTTAACCTTTTTCCTTAACTTTCTACAGAAATAAGTTTGATTACGATTTTACAGAAAATTTGACGGCACATCTTTTGGAAAAACAATTAGCTTTAAAGACCAAAAAGAAAAAAAGTTATAGTCAAAATACTGAGAGGTCCATTTAATCTGGGCCGCCCGTTATTTTTAAATCGTTAACGATATATTTTCATTTTCTTTTTAAAAAAAAAAGCAAGTTTTTGTTACAATAACTTACCCTACTTTTAAACTTTTGAAAGCGTATATTATGCGCATTCTTATCAAAAGAAATTATCTTAACCCTCACACCTGTACTTTTCATGACTTATGTAGACACATTATACTCATTATTTTCATATTAATCATACAGATAAGATGAAATCAAGCGAAACATAATCATAAGTACCACAATTAGTCAATAATAGACAACGTAATTAAACGTAGAAAGATCTTAAAATGTACCTTCAACAAGTAATTTTTTACTATGCCAATTTTTATCAATTTTAACAACAGGCATTCGAGTTTGTATGGAAACAACAAATTGTTTTGTATTAAAAGTTTTAACATAATATGAAAGTAATTGTAAAAATAACATTTCAATATCTGTCGTATTTTTTGATTTCCATTCACGTGAATATACATTACAAATACGAAAAAATTCTGGATATTGATTTTCATTCATTGTTATTGGTACATGATCAATACCAAAAACCTATTTTATAAGTAGATAAAAAAAACAAATGAAAAAAACGAAATAAAACATACATATTCATGTAGACATGGTAAAATAGGTGGATCGATTTGTTGAAGAAAATGAATAACCATTATATGAAAAGCAATTGGATGAAGTGTTCCTAAATCTGGTTTATCTATATTACATGTCTAAAAGTTAAATAAATTACTTTCTATAAGTTTAAAGGAAAAGAAATTCTTAAACAAACTTTTGAAAGTATGCGAAATAATCGAAGTAATTTAATAACACGTGAATCAAATTTTGTATAAATTCGAATTAATTTTGATAAATTTATTCCACGATTATAACCTGATGTAATGCGTACACGCATATTTGGTTCATTGATAATTAAGTCAATACACGATGGTTTATGTTCTGTATTAATACAAGCTTCTTTACATAAATCTATAGAGAAAATAATTCAGTAGTCTTTTTTTTATTAATTGAATAAAATATCATACCACTTTTTGTTATTATTTCAAGTAATTCTTTAAGTGTGTCATATTGAAGAGTTTGTTTAAATTGTATATCAATATCCATGATACCAGGTTTTTCCAAACAGCATTCGAATGATATAGAACCATATAAATTTATTTGACAATCTATTTAAAGTGAAATAAATGAACTATGATAAAAGAGTTTTTTTTTTTTTTATATATCAGATGTCTAAATTTAAAAGTAGAATATGAAAATGAATTTTACATTTTTCAAGGACAATAAAATGGATGCATGTTAAGAATTAAGAAATCATAAAAATAAATTCAGTTTGTTTCGATCTATTTTTGATTCATGGCAGGTCGAAAAAACATCATTCGATTAATATTTTATCAAATCTAAATCTTAATATGAAATGTCTATTCATTTTCTCAGCATCTAAAACAAACTAATCCACCTCCACACACGCAAAATAGAAGCCCACTTTATCCGATCGGAGCACAAAATAAATAATGTAACAAATTGGATAGAATAATTCTCCTTGCTTTTCATTATTCAACTATAGCTCTGTTTATGTGTCTAATTTCTTTTGTGTTGTATGTTTTCTAACAACGAAAAACTCATTTTCTTTCTCATCCTGAAAAATCTCTATGCATATTTACCACTCACAGATAGCTGTCGAAGAACTGTGGAATAGGAATTAGACATGCAATCATATTATTCGCTTAGATTTCTTCCTAGTATGAGCTTAAGCGCAGCTTAGAAACGAAACAATATTGATTTCTTTTAACTTGACATAAATATGGGACATTGTTTGATCAAAAAATGAAACATCTGACAAATGTGAACAGTGATTGGTTGAAATTACGTGAACATTCATCGAACTTAGGGATGTACCACCAATTCCGATTTTTAGAATTGATTGGAATAGGTCAGGGATAGGAAGTTACCAGTTAGCAGGTAGTGTGGTAATTTAACTGTAACAACATAACTTCTCGAATAGGTCTTGAAAAAATTCGATGGAATTATTAATTTATGTGAATATGTATAAAAATAGTAATTCTGCAAGAAAAAAAATTCCAAATCAAGTATTGAAATTGGTGCATCCCTAATTGAAGTCGATAATAAAAATTAGTGTGAAATAGTAGCATAATCGATTCTAAGATCTGAACTATGCATCTCTCAGAAATAAGAGATTTGTATTTCCGTAAACAGAAGCTTAGTTTATATTTCTGTCAAGATCATTAAAACATATACTGTTTCACTTCTGAAGTGTATTCAAGTTTCTATGATGAACTCGTTCAGAAAATTCATATTTATACATGTCTAATAAGAGTTTCTTCCTAACTTTTCCAAAGCTTGACAATTTCTTAGCTAAAATATTGTATTAAACGGAAATAATCGTATTGATACCAAGATCTACTGAGTACTAGAGATAGATGAGCATGTGAACGTGAAGAATAGTCTAAAGAACTCATGATTTTGTCTATTTAATAGTATGAGATCGAGACAACTGACAATTAATATCTGCTTCTACAGAACCTATAATAAGTATGTTGAAAGCGATCACAAAATTTGAAAATCTCGATGTATAAATTGTTGACCTCTTCTATACTTGCAAGTTAATGGCAGTATAGCTACAACACAAAAAAAGTTAGCAGCAATAGAAGCCTACATTCAAACTTTTGATCTACAAAACAAATTAGAAGTTAACATTTTCGTATATTCTTCTTTAATCTTTACACCTATTGAAACAATGTTTTTTTCATCAAAAGATTGACCTGGAAATTCTCTACAAAACTATGTACAGTTCGACTTAAACAGTGTTTAAGATATATTTTAAGAAAAATAAAAAAAGTAGAGACATGCGAACAGGTATAAAAATACAATTGAAATTGTTAATAGTGTAGTGAAAATCTGTCGTGACTTCATTAAGTGGATTTCACAGCAAGGATTAGTTTATGGATAAAAATGATCAACAATACGAGCTCTATCATTTCACCACATTCTTTCGGTCATCTACACATATTCAACATCTCAAAGGTTAAATGGCGTATAGATCTGATAAAAACGGGTGTCAAAAAGGGAATTACCGTTGAAAAGAGATGTTTTAAGTAGACGCATGTAGAAAATATTACGTGAAGTTTTTTGCTATGTAGAATACAAGAAAGCAAAACAATTGATATTTACAAAATGAAGAGAGTCAATATTGACAGTCAGACACAGCTAGACTTCATATGCATTATTAGAATAAAAATAGTCTTCTAACAATTTTTCTGTATTTTACTAGACGAACAGTTGATTGCCAATTTATGGCTAGTGAATTATATTTTAAGATAAAAGTTGGTTGAGACTATGAACTAGGATCGTATGACAACAAGAGTAACACTCATAGACAAATTAAAAAGTAGTCTCAAAAAGTTGATTAAAAGAAGTTTTTTTATGTTTTCTACTTTATTTCATTGAACAATTATTTTAATTAAAATAATATAAAGATAACTATATTTATTCGATAGGCTATACTATTTTGTGGAAAATTTCAAAGTCTAATCTTTTGATGAAAAATTGTTTCAGTTACGTAAAGAATGTAGGCGTAATTTTTAATACTAACAGAACAATTCTCGGTCAACTAATCTTTAATTCAGAATTGTCACGTTTAGATTTATCAGTTTAAAAAAAGAAGAATCTCTAGAAGCAAAACTTATCACGAAGTTTTGCTGTGCATGCATATTTTATTTTCTGTTACGGCATCACATGTCAATGAAGAAGTGTACTTGATCTATGTACTTTCAATGTCACAATGCTCTCTTCAAATCAATCTTCTAGATAGTTTTCTTTTCAATTCCTTCATCTAAAAATATCAGACACAACTTAGTAATAGAATAGATTGTAGAGTAAAAACGATGTCATATGCAGTTTACAAGAGTATTATTCTAGATGTTCATTTCCGTTTCGATTCATTCATACCTCATTCGATAGATTATATTGAAGTAAGATAAAGTCTTAAAGAGTTCAAGCCTATGACCTACTGACAAATAGTTATGCCTATTTTACTAAAATTTTCCTATAAATATATTCAATTGTTATTAGATAGTCCTGAAAGTTTTCATGAAAATGCATATATTTTTCTCATGATATTCAAATACCAAAAACACAATGATTTACTCTAGGAGAAGATGATAATCCCGTATACTTGGAAATTGAATATCTTGAGAAAGAGATATTTTTTTCTTAAAACTTTCATGACTATTAAATCTATTTATAAGTAAAATTTCAATAGAACGGTCATAACTCTTGACCAATAAAACCATAAACCTGAAATGATTAAAGTTTTGTCCTACTTAAATATAATCTATTGGATAAATCATGAATCAATAAGAACGAAGATGGGCACCTTGGACACTTCTCTCATTAGTAAACGTACTGGCTTAGAGTTTCTAAGGGATATCAACACCCAGGAGTGTTAAACTTCCCACTCCCAATTTTGAGAAATTTTCTTTTTTTTGCTCATCAATCCTCAAAAACAGAACACTCAACCATCTTCCCTCCCTCGCCAGAATCTGATCAATCTCAGCGAAAATCTTCCAATCGACCACCTCCAATCCTGGTGACCTCGAGTCAACCTTGTCAATACCGACATTGAAATTTGGATGTATTACAATGCTCATATAACGTTAAACTAATTAATAAAAGACTATCTTGACATCATATTCAGTCATTCGAACTAAACAATTGGAACTTTAGCTTAGTGAATTCTATTCTTTTTAATCATAGTAAAATATAATCATTTGACTGAAAGATTTTTTTTAGAAAATGTACCTGATCGTGACGCGAGAATGATTTGATGTAATTTATCAAAAATAATTTTTCGTAATTTCAAACTATTATCTGACAGTAAACGTTCATTAAGAATTTTATTAAAAGCATTTTTTAATGCATTTAAATGTTCAGGCATTGGCTCGCGAATGTCAATTGTTGAACGACCAACTTCAACCTAGATATTTAAAAAAAAAATAAATCAAATATCTGTAATGTTTTTTCTTCATACTTTTCCAGGTGAACCATTGATTTGATCATCATGACTTCGTGCTAATAAGAATAAGAAATAAAACACAAAAAATATTTCATCATTTAATATTAAAAAAATAGAAACTATTCTTTACATGAATCATTTCGTTCAAATTTCTTATGTTTCTTCCGTTTTTCAAATGTTGATTGAATATCTAAACATTCGATTAATGGTCTTGGATTACTCTGTTTATTAAGAATTGTAATTAATGATGAATTTTTTAAAGGATCTTCATCCATATTTCTGAAATATAAAGAAACTAATCTTGTCCTTCTTCCTTCATTGACAAACAACGAGCAAACATACGTTTTGTTCTCAGCTTCCTTCGCATTCTTCTATCTCGCTTGGAATGTTTGGTTATCGTTTTCCTTGTAAAAACCAATAAGATTCGAGAATAAATGACATCTATATTGAATAATATAAGTTTTTTTTTTAATTTCAATTGAAACAAAAAGAAAAAAAACACAAAGAATTTTTTTATTTTTAGTTTTTTATTTAAAATAATTTAATGAATATAATGAAGAATATTTCTTAGTAACGACAAAGTGTCATGAATAAAATGAATAAACGATTAAAGAAAAGTTAAAATGAGTTTAACAACTAAACGACAATTACCAAATCTAAATAATGAAAAAATTCGACAATTAAATTCCGTATTAATTGTAAAATTGAAATTTTCTTTTTCTCGAAAAGAAAAATTTGTTTTTTTGTAATTTAGAATACAGAAGATAACATACGAAATGTTCAACAAAATTTCGAGTCATTTAAACAAACAACATCTTTAGTAGATAAAGTAAAATTTATTTCTTTTTAGTTTTTTGAAAGAAAGTTTGTTTTGGGGAATGAATTTTCAGTTTAGAAATAATGGTAGTAAATCAACAATACCAAGAAATAAAGGTGATCGTTTCAATAATGATGGTAGCAAACAATCGATATTATCAAATGAACATGATAAAGCTAAACATGAGACCAGTAAAACAACAAAACAACAATTGTAAGTTTTTGAAAAGATTAAATGTTTCAAATTCGGTTTTTAGAAGTAATAGAAATTCTATCGATTCAATGATTTCATCAAAACACGACTCAATTATTCAAGAGGTGAGATCATTCAAATTTTATAAAATAAAATATAGCTTAAGTGTATTTAAGATGAAGATCAGAAAAAGATGTACTAAGTATTATAGATATGATAGAGGAATTCTTGATGATATTTCATATTAAAATCTAATGAAATAGTCATGTTAAAAGTATTTCAAATTTGAAATAGAAGTATGTTTCTTGTAGTGTAAGAATGATGAGTAAGTCTGGTGTACAAAAATTGTACAGTAATGATCCAGAGAATGGATGAATGTTTTCTCGATATGTTTGTTTTTGTAATTGATTCTTAACATTACACTAATGTGCTTTGCATATATATATATATATATACATAAGATTATCTACTAAACAGTTTATTTTTGACGCTTATTGATTTAATGTACTGCAGTGAGAAACTATCGAAGTTTATTTAAATCACAGTATTTAACTATTGATAATACATAATACAATGCAATTGTATCAAAAGAGAATCAAAGTTCTGAAGAGTCAGCCTACATCCTCAGCTGATCGTTCTCACTTTCAGTCAAGTATTTGCTTTCAATGTGATGCTTTCCTTGTGATGATAAGTTGCAAGACGAAACCTGTACAAAAATCCCTAATAGATGACTTTCTTAAGCTATCGTGTGCAGCATTTCAAATGATAAACTTCATTCAAGCTCATATTTTGCTGATTGTTAGGGTCCATGGTTCAGATTAAAGTCTTAAAAAGATTTATGTCATTAGTACTTTCTTCTTCGGATATGATTGTTTTACTGAATTTTCACTCTTATAAAGAAAACTGAATCAATAAATTGTTATTTGAAATTTTACCCGAAAATAGACTTTATAGTTCTTATTAAATTCTTGAAGTTTCAGTTAAAAATGATCGTTTCTTCTCAAGATATTGTATACTCAAAGATACCGGACTTGTTCAAACCTTTTATAAGAAACCTTCAATTTTACAACTCAGCTATCTTAACACAGAAGCATCCATTTTTATACTGAAACTTTTGGGATATTATAAAGATCATGAGATCTATTTTCGGGGTAAAACTTCGGACTGAATTTTTTTGATTCAATTTTTTTCGTAAGGCTGAAAACTCAGTAAATCGATCATAGCTCAAGGCGAAATCGCTAATGGCACAAATCGTTTTACAATTTTTATTTGCACCATGTATCCTAAGAATCAACAAAATATGGGCTCAAACAAATCGTTAGCCGAAAAAGTTTCACCGTTAGAAATTCATTACTACTATACAAATATGTATTTTCACAGGTTGGTCATTCACGTCACGATCGACGTTTACAAGAAATAGAACTTGAAATAAAACGACATAGAGAAGAACAACAACGAAAATTAACAACATCACTACATAATGAAGGCGATAAGATTTTACAAGCACAATCTATATATAATAAACAAACAGTAGATCTTCAAATATCTCTTTAATTATTGACAATAAATTATTTATAATATTTAGCATGAATTTTCATTACAAAATACAAAACGACACTTAGAAGAAAATGAAATAAATAGCACGTTATTAACACAACAGGTATATAATCTTTGTGGTTGTTATTAAAAATTTCATTGAACATAATTTTAGAATTCAGCAACTTTACTCGATTGTGCTAAATCAATTCGAGAAAATGTATGTGTTACTTTGAATGAAAACTTGTTTGAATTTCTGTAGATTTACTTTGATTGTAATTTGATTTTTCATTAACGTAGTTTGTATGTATTATTTAGGTAACACAATTTAAAAACCAATTAATGAGAAATGAAATAACATATGAGAAACAAATACAAAATGTTGAAGATTTATCTCCATTATTAAATCAACGACGAAAAACAGGTTAGATTGTTATGATTACTATAAAAAGATAAACTTTTTGAGATTTTGTTAAGTTTGAATAACTTTTAAGAATTTCATTGTCGAAATTGAAATTTATTGAAAAATGATTAACGATACACTTATTTTGATAAGATTCGAGCTGATCTAAGCATACTATAGCCATTATTTAAACATTATATATTTGATTCAAGATTCTTTTATACAGATTTCGGGCTCAAAATGCTTATAATTGACTTTATTTTTTTTCCTCTTAATCAACTATATTGAAATTGTACTTAGAATTATATGTTAAATTACTATTTATTTATTTACTATATGAAAACACAGCGGAGAATTTCCTTCTCATCATTACTTCATTTACTTTTACATTATGATTAAGTGCATATTTTACTCTTAAGAATATGTATGACTCCTAATGGGTGATCAATAACGTTTTAGACAAGATATTTGTTGATCTTCAATCCGCTAGAAAGTATTTTCGACTAGTCAAAAGCTATGATTTTGTGTTTTTTTTCGAATATGGGTTTAGAAATTTTGTTTGAGAGTATTGAAATAATCTTCAAAAAGTCAAAAACAAATAGTTTCGATGAAACTTGTGGAGCGATATTTCCGATGAACATGTTTGTTCATTTTGACCTGCTTGACAGCATTTCAGACGAACTAAAAACTACAGGTCGTGATCGAAATTTGAATATGAGCCTAGAACTATTTTTGTTCAAGATTAGTGAGGAACTTTTTTGAAAGGTCTGAAAAATTATTTTAAATGATGAGCCAACAAGTTTTTGTTTACCCTGTAAATTCCGTCTCGAACATGTTAACAATTGTCGGAGTGGATCGTCTTGTAGAACGGACAGTTCTCTACAAAATATAGTATTGAATAAAGCTATAGTTTTTATCTAAGTGAGACTAAAAGCACTTTTTTCAAGAGCTTCTTTCAACGTAAAATAGGTGTAAAGTTTTCAAAAATGAATTTTAACCAAAACAACGAAAACTGAGATACTCTTGCCGAAAGATAAAAAGAAATTCTAATAGTGCATTTTCTAGGGCGGCTTCTGATCTACAAGTTGATATATAATAAATAAAGATCGCAACTTTGAGCTCCGAATCGTAATAGTCAAAATATAACAATGTACGGAAAATTTTCCGTCCCAATTGAGTTTTTTCGGCTTTTCAAAGATTATTTTACTACTGTCAAACAAAAACGGAGACCAAATTTCTAAGCATATATTCGATAATATTGGATAATTAGTAATTCTAGTTATTTTCATCTTCTATTTCACTATTAGAAATAAAAAAAAAAACAAGTTAAATATGTTCTATAAATAGTAAAATGAACTTTTAATCTTAATTTAAAAGTAAATGAATAATTAAAAATTTAATATTCAATGTTACGTATTATATTGAGGAAGCCTTCCTTCTTTCTCAGATATGGGCAACCATAGTTCAATGAAAATTTCTGAAACTGAGCATTAATAAAGCTACGAACGAACTTATGTTTCTTGAAGATGAGCAAATGTAACATAGATTGTAAGATGTGAACAAAATTGCTTGAAATGATTTCGTTAAAATTCAGTTTTCATCATCGACTTTCTGAATGTATGATTTAACTGATTGAAATTATCTTAATCTAAATGTCTTCTTTATAAATAGAACGAGATCATCTTCAAATGGAAAATAAATATCTAATAAAACAACAAACAATGCTTTCAAAATCAGCAACATTAAACGAAATGCTTAATTTTAAAAGAGAACTTGAAAAAAGTGAACAACAACGTGAAGAGCTTTTCGATGAATTAGAGGTTTTGTTTTATTTTTCTAAAATATTTCTGCATTATTTCATAAATAAATTTAGTCATTAATTAAAACATGTGATGAAAAAGACAAACTTGTATCAAAGACATTACTGGAATTAAAAGAAGTAACAGAAAATTGTGATACATTCGGACGACAAAATACAAAATTACAATATGATTTAACATTAGCATTAGAAAAATTAGAAGAAATGACTGAAGAAGCTGAACGATTTGCAAAAGAATCCACAAGTTCTCAAAAACTATTAGCAGATTCTGAACAAAAGCGAGAAGAATTTCAAATTCAAGCAGAAGAAACAATTAAACAGTAAAATATTGCAACTTCATTTCTTATGATCAAATATAATTTTATTTAGATGGAAAGCTCGAGTTAAAAAATTCGAAAAAGATATCGATCGTTATAAACTTGATTCAACACAAATGTTAGAAAAAAATGAACAATTAATTAAAGAAATCAATACGTTTAAATCACAAGAATTAACCTTAAGAGAACAAGTTACTAAACTTGAAACTGATTTAAGCCTAGTCAATGTTTGCATATTTGAATATTTATTTATCTTTTTTTTTGAATTTTCAATTGTTTATTTTAGACAAATTATAATCAGTTAGAAGAACAATTTAAACGAAATGAAAATGATGTAAGGAAAACTTTTTTAATGAAACAATTGTAACAATATGTAATAGATTATTCAACTTCGTGCTATTCGTTCATCACAAGAAGTTGACATTGCAACATTGAAAGAAACAGTCTATGAAGTAAGAGTTATTCTCATAAGGAAAGGTCTTTAATTGCAAGAATACATACAAGTAGATTTGTCGCAGAGAAAAATAAGATTCGTCCCTATGGTCTTATGAATAATCATCGCAGCATGGAGATCTTCTTTCACATAGTATAAAACGAACTTTTTTCTAATAAATACGGGCATTCTAATGATTATTCATTGCATGTGTAATTTATTATATTGTCTTACATCATTTTCGATTTAGATCATCTTACGAAAGAATCTCTTGAGATGATAGAAAGTTTTTGAGACCAGGCATATCTCATTAAGTATCGTACACTAAGAAATTGTTCGTCTTGTAATAGGTTTTTGTTGAAAAAAACCAGTAAAATTTCTATATCTCTAGAACGAAGAACCAGAAAACCAAGCCATTTTAGACTTTTCTATTACTCACAAATACTCATCAAATGAACATCATCTCAGTCGAAAAATGATTTAACACTTGCAAAAGTTTTCTTGTGAGAAATCTACTGTTAAAATCAATTACTCCTATACAATTCCATCAAATCGAACAACAGAAATGCGAGATTTTATGTTTCGATTTCACTTGACTCTGAGTACAGTAATTATTTTAGCAATTGTTAAAAAGAGTTAGGATTTGATCTTGAGAAGAAGCCATTCCAAATATAAAATGTGAATGAACTATTTTATTTCTCTCTTTCTTTTGTATTTAAAGCTTGAAAAGCAACTTTCTATCCAACGACAATGTCAATCAAGAGCTGATAAAGAAAAACAGAATCTCCATAAATTATTAGAAGAAGAAATCAATCATCGACATAATCTTGATTCAAAATTAAAACAATCAGAAGTTAGAAATTTTTCTTCCAACTTTAATTGAATATTAATTATTTCATTTTAGCAAGATATTGAAACAATAAATACATATCGTTCTCAATTACAAAAACAAATTATCGAACTTGAAAATGAACGAAAAGTAAAAACTATTTTTCTTAGATTCGTTTTATTTTAAAAAGAAGTCATATTTGATTTTAGGATTTATTACAAAAAATTAAAGAAATTGAATTTGAAAAAGATTTATTATCAAAAGAAAAAACAAAATTTATTTCATTAGAAAATGATTATGAAGAAATTAAAGTTCGTTGAAATAATTCTAGAAGATATATGTAAAAAATAAATATTATTTCTAGAGAAAATTAGAAATAACTAAAGTTGATTATACACATAGTATGAAAGCATTACAAATGGATTATGAAAATAAAATTGAAATATGTCAAGTAAAATTCATTTTCAAAATGTAATTATTTTCTTTTTATCATTTCATTTTTCTAGTTACAATTATCAGATGAAACATCTCGAATTGCTATTTTAAAACGACATGAATTAGAACATAAACAAGAAATTGAAAGACTACAAGAAAAAGCAGCAAAATTTGAAGATGAAACAACTCGAGCACACTGTACCATTGAAATTTTATCAAGAGAAATCAATGATAAAGTAATTATTTATTTTAATACGAAAAACAAAACAAACTAACCTATTCAAATTCTAAAATTAGAAAGCAGCTTCCGAGTTGAAAAAGACGACTACTATATACAATGGCATAATACTACAGTATTCTTTTACAGTTATTTTTATATTAACGAGAAAAATACGCGAATTTGTATCCATTGCTTGAGCGCATATTGAACCTAGAAATAGATCCCGGTAAGACCTAGAAAAAGTCTTAAATGGTTTGTCTCCATGGATCTTTGAAGCTGAGTTATGATCATTCTTTTCAGTTTCCGATTCAGCTTTAGGTATATACCAAAAAAACAAAAAACAGAATTTCGATGTAAAATTAAATATTATTCTGTTTAGTCAACGATCTTCTCTTCTTTTGACAGTCACAATCTAATAATTAAGTGCCGTTTTGTCAATAAGTCAGGACTTAACCAATTAAGCACATAATGAGTATTCATTTGTTAACAAGTGATAGAACACCATAGAAGTGAATCAATATTAGTGTTGTATAGGTGATAATCTAAACGAATAAGGATATGAGTGCGGGTATGATTGTTGGCGTATTTGTGGATGTGGATGTTAGTGAAGATAAGGCTATAAGTATAGGTGTCGGTGTAGGTTTGAATATGAGTTAAGAGAAGATCAGCATTCACATCCGTTCTTGTTCAATGTTATCATTTAAAAATGAACAAATCTATTTGCTATTAGTCATAGTTCTAGGTTGGATTTTAATAAGCAAGTAGTCATTCATGGCAAGGAAGACAAAGCGAGACTTCGATACTTCGAAGTACGAGTAATGTGCGAGGGAAGTACTGTACTTCATTCGTACTTTGAAGTACCGAAGTCTCGCTGTTACCCTCTTGAGTTAATGGTGGTTTCTATTATTTGAACAGGACCGAACCTACAATTCTACCAATAGAGAGGTGTAATGATCCATATAGTATTATGAAAGTTTTAGCTGAAAAGAATGTTCTTTTGTGGAGATATCAAATTTCCAAAAATAATTATCGTGTGCCACAGAGATGATACAAAAATCGATTTTATTTGAAAATTTAATATTTTGATAAAAAAAAACATTTTTTTTCGACTGAAACTTGCAGAATAATCTATAAACCACTAGTCCTATCTATGAGCAGAATTTCACATCGAACTCTGTCTTTTTAATTTTCGGTATAAACCTAAAGATAGATCGAAAAATTCAGCTAACCGATCCTAACTCGGCTCCAATCACTCATGGAGATGAATCTTTTTAATATTTTGCTAGTCTCACCAAGGCATCCTTGTAGGCTGATATAAATTCGAAGGCTGTGTATCAGTTCGGGTGGTTCCTTCGTAAGTGTTAGTAGTTTCATAGTTCTATATGAAACAATATAAATCAGTCGATTGCAAATTTTTGAAACAAAACAACACAACTTGATACTTCAAACTTAGATTGTTCGATAACCTCTGTGATCTACTTCTTATTTAGTAATAGCTAATATAGACAACAGGTATTCTTATTTTTCTGTGTATTAATTATCCTGTCGGATTTTTTGTTACCTTTTAAATATTTGCTTTTCTTATAATAAACTTGACGTTGTTTTATTGATATTTTCCTGTTTATTTTTTAGTCTCGATTGATTGATGAATTAGAATCAAAGTATGAATCAATGTTTTATTATCTAACAAAATAAAAGCATTATCTATTCATAGAATTAACAAATTGAATGCTGAAGCAACGAATCAAACAAATCAAATTATAAAAAAACAGAACGATTATCAAGTAAAAATAAACGTCCTTGTTATCTTGAAAAAATGGTGATCTATTTAGAATTCTCTTCAAACTGTTTACAACGAAATAATCTATTGTACAGAATGCTTATCAAATGATTGTAATGAACCTTTTGTTATTATCGAACCTGCAACAATACCTCGAGATGATATTGAAGTTTGGTTCACCAAATTTAAAGTAAAAAGGAAATCAGTGAAATTTGACTTTTTTTCTATTTTGAAAAATAAAAAGGCTCATCTTACTTGGCTTAAACAAGAATTAGAAATTCGTCAACAACAAGAAAAAAAACTTCGTCAAGATCTTGATAATGCATTACTTGATTGTGAAGCTGATCGAAAATATTTTGCATCTGAATTAGCTAAACGAGAAGTTATTATTAATGAATTAACAAACAGTCATCAAGTTTGTGAACGAGAAACTTTAAATACATCAAATGAATATAAGCAACTTGATGTACAAGTCGAATATAATAAACAACGTATATTAACTGAGGTTTGTTATTCTAATGGTATAAAAATATCGTCATTTTTTTTTAATAGGATGAACGTGATCGTATTGATGATCGATATCGACAGTAAGATATTCAGTATTCTTCATTCTTATAGAATTATATGCGTGTCTTCTAAACTAATCATCTGACATCGACTCGGATTTGATTCAAAAAATTAATCCAATGTCAGCAAACTTAAGAATTCAATTTTATTTCTAACTAGACTCTTATTTATCTATTGATTAAAAATAGTCTCGCTGACAATGTTTTGGTATCTAATTAAACGAACATTCTTCCTTATCAATATTTGGCAATGTTTAATCGATCACAGAATCTTATGGCAGTTGTTCGCTTATATCTACTGAAGTCAAAATAAAGATTCTAAATGGATTTCGCTGACTGTTTAATTTCTATTGGTATGAAATGATTGCACAGAATACGATCGAGTTTGGATAAGTAGTAAAAACCACTGCAGAAAAGTTTATGATAGAAAAACATGCATTACGAAAGTCTATTATAACACAAAACTAATTTTACTTTCATGATCAAATTTGGTGACATGCTCATCATTCTTGATATTCTTTTCACAGCTATCGAACAAAGAATTGTTTTACTTTGTCAAAAAGCTATAATTAGATCTTCAAAAAACAATGAATATTAACACAACTTAAAGTATATATTCTACTAATTGAGTCTGAGATTCCCTATTTTAATTGATAAACTAATGAGAACCCGTACTTAACAGAGATAAAATCAAATCCTTGTCTAGATAACTAAATACTAACAAACTTATCATTACTAAAATCTTGCACTGTAGATAAAATAAATTGTTGAAAACACTTGTATTTTGTAATCAATATCAATTTCTATTGACTTTTTATTTTGCTTGAAAGATTTTCACAAATTTAAAAGATTTCAACCTCTATTTTAGATTTCAAATCATGATCGATTCAGTTAAACGAGATTTACATACGGCAAAATTACAACTTTCAGCTTAATCTATAAAATAAGTCTCAATTTTTTTTCACTATAAATACTTCTCATTTTATGGTGTGCTCATGTTTACAGTAGTAAATCTTTTTAATTTTTGTATTTTGTTAGTTTTACTATCACTAATCTCTTACATCAGATAATCATTAACAATTTTATTCTGTTTTTTTTAGATAAAGATCAGATAAAAGAGCATTAATTTGAAAAAATAATATGGCTGTTAAAACTGTAGCAACAAAAACGTTTCAAGGTCGTATTGAACGCCGTCGTGGGATCACGTAAGTTGTTTCAGCACAAAATCGGAGAGACTAAAATACAAAGAAAATAAGAAAAATCTATTCTAGCAAATTTAAACTCAATATACTTGTAAAACATGATTTTGGCATAGAACATATTTATTTTTTCAATTCATATTATTCTTATTTCGATATGAGGCGATACATAAAGGATGATTCGAGAAACGTCACATTTTTTTATTCCTTCTTCCTGTACAGATAAGCCAGTTTTGGCTGGTCTTCCTTTCCGTGGACATTCAGTTTCCAAAAACTGTTAGCAAGAGTTTGTTTGCTCAAACATACAAGCATTTTCTTCCTGTCTTAAACACAAGGAAAAACAAACCAATCTCATGATTTCTTTGATTTCTAATGACTTCTCTAATTTTAAGTAATCTATAGTGATTTTTATCACTGGAAATAATTTTTATCTGTTCACCACGAATCAGTAGAAGTCATTAGAAATCTTAGAACTGGCAGGAAATGACAAGAAATCATTGGAAATCAACGGAAATCACTCTAAATCATAGAAAATTTTCCGTAATAAGATTAAAGTACAGCATTAATTTCTATTGATTCACGGTATACAGATAAATCTGATTTCTAGTGACAGATATTATCTTAAATTATAAAAATCATTAGAAACTGAAAAACTGAAGAAATCAATTTGTTCTCCGTTGGTAACTATTGAAATCTAAGCAACTCAACAAAAATCATTGGAAATCAATTGAAATTAGTGCTGTACTTTGAATCGTATTATTGAAGATTTTCTATGATGTAGAGTGATTTCCATTGATTTCTAATAATTTCTCATGGTTTGTAATAGCTGTTGGCGATATTCGATAATTTGTAACTACTTTCAGTCATGATTCGTATCATTAAGGTCCTATAATGGTTTACAGTGATTTCTAGCATAGAAATCAGTTTGTTCCTCCTTGGTTCATGTACAAATGGCATGATTGATTTCTCAACATAGAACAATTCAGGTGCTTTTTCGTTTAATTCCTTTTCGTCATTCAATACATCTTTCCTTCGACATACATGTCTTATGTTACGTTTTGCTTTACTTTATTCTGTTCTCTACATGTGGGTAGTATTAGAACATTTCGTATGCTTGTACTGCTCTTTAGGTTAATCTTTTGATTTGTTTTTTCTAATACACATGGTAAGCTATTTTTCACAGGCCGCGATGGAATCGTCGAAGTCAAGATAACAAGTTAGGAAACTTTGCTATTCTGTTAACCCTTTACCCTCCATAGTGGTTCCAGAAGAGTCACCAATAAAACAATTATTGAAACAGAGTATTGTCCTCTTCAATTAGGTCAATAATATCAGCAGATCGACCAGGTGCGCTTTCCTGTGTGAACGACAAATTGGCAACTCCAGTTGTTATTAGGGGGTAGCGACATGAAAAAATTTTTTTCTATCTTTTGCGAGTAACTTGTTGATTTCGCAAAAATATAATATATTTTTCTAATTCAACAATACGAATAAAGAAAAAACCGAAACATAAAAAGATTTTCTTTTTTTCTCCACAATACATGTGCTTCTGAAACAACTTTCTATATGTACATAAAATTTGTTTTTCTCGAAGTAATTAAATCATCAATCAAAGGATACAATTATTGATTCATTCTTGTTCAACTTCGAATATGATAAGATTTTAAAGACTGAGGGTGTGGGTATGCGTGTAATTTGGATCTCTTCTTGTCCGACATTGACATCCACACCTACCTACACCTCCACCAAACATTTATATAACAGCAATATATTTACTTATCTATGCGTATATATTAACAGGTATTGCGTTTAGACGAAAATTTCTAAATCTGTTTTTGATGTAATTACTCCTCAATGACAATTTCAGTTGCCATTTTATGTCATACAATCTCTTGTTCAGCTAATTCGTGTGAAAATTTATAAACGCATTTTATTCAATAGCAGCAACCTTCGGCGATATTTATCACACAGCGCGTCATCAAAAAAAAAATATTTCTCATGGGTAAAAAAAACAATATAAAAAAAGAGAGGTTCTTTGTTTTAATAATCTTATGAGAAATGATACAAAATATTTTTTTTTAACCAATCGGTAGCTTAAGAAACCTTCTACACACAATGTGGAAAGAGTTTTCTAATATCACTCATTCTGCATTTTTTGCTATGTTTCTAATCAGTGATTCCACCTCGATTTGAAGCAACTAGTGCTATTTTATAAGAAAAGTGAGCAATAGCTAACATGAAAACTTTCATGCTTTGGTTCATTTGTGATAAATCGTTACTGAAATGACCAATTACCAAGACTATTCGTGTTACTCGATGATTGATTAAACTAATTAGTTTTTTACGTAGAGTCATTTTGAGTACGAAATATTCTTTTTTTTTTCCTGCTTGATTTTAATATAGACATTTTGAAAAAATTATTTATTTTATTTTGACAGTAGGAAAAACTTTTGAAGACTTTCTTTTCGTTGAGGAAAATTTTCCATTTTAACACTAGATTCTGTGCCTCTGACTAATCCTCACTCCTTCTTTTTCCTGTACGTTCTTGATATATGACCCGTATCTATACGTTTATGATTGGATCTTTTTACTAATAATTAAAATTAAAAGGAATTTCTTTTTTATTTTATTCGTATGTATAGAGATCGTCCAGTTCGTTTTCGATGCTTTCTACAAAATGCAATATATGATGTTCTTAAAAATCGTGGATGGATAGAATCACGAGAGTAAGTGTTTAAAAGGTCTCGCAAAAAAATTTGAATAAAATTATTTTTAGTGATGAAGAATGGGATTTTTATGTAAGTAATTATATGAAATAAAATGAAGTATTAATACTATTCTATTAGTGGTGTGATGTTGGCTCGATGAAAGATCTTTTTGATCGTGGCTATTTTGAAGAACATATGCGTATTAATCATTTTAGAAATCATTATGAAGTATGTTAATATATCTGTCTCTCGTTGAAATCATTCTTATTTGTATTTGGTACTATTTTAGTTAACACGTAAAGATTTAATGGTGAAAAATTTAAAACGTTTTCGAAAACAAGTGGAACGAGAACAAGGTCGTTTGGAAGCACTTAAATGTGATTTTTTTCCGACAACATATGTTCTTCCCGTATGTTATTTGATGTACTTTAGGAAAGAAATAATTTAAAATTTGAATTTAGTCTGAATATCACTTATTTGTCGAAGAATTTAAACGAAATCCAGATACAACTTGGATAATGAAACCAGCAGCACGTGCTCAAGGAAAAGGAATTTTTCTTTTTCGAAAACTTCAAGATATCACAGCTTGGCGACGTGTAACAAAATTCTATTTTACTTTTTATTATTTATTTATTTTGTTTAGGGTGAATATATGACAGCATATGATAAAGAACAAAATCGTGAAGCCGTCGAAACATATGTTGTAAGTTATCTTAACTTAATAATCATAGATGAACAAAGAATATCTTAGGTACAACGTTATGTTGATAATCCATATTTAATTGGTGGCAAAAAATTTGATATTCGTATATATATGTTGGTTACATCTGTAAGTCTGACTTTATTTTCAGAATTTATATATGTACCGAAAATCGAAGATAACCTTTGAGAATTGAAAAGTAATGATGAAACATGCATCTATGAAATAGAATGTTTCACTATACAAGTTGAATAATAGTTAGTTATTCATGAGAAATTTTTATGAATATTCAGTTTTAATAAATCTCATCTTGTTGAAAATTGATGAGAACAGATAATGATTAATACTTGAAGTCAAGTCATTTTTGTTTTGAAATAGTTCTTTGGCATTTTTCTTTAAGAAATACTTAAATACGATTAGTGACATCGAAATTTTACTCTATAATATAACATTCTACATTTTGAAAAGTTCAACAGAACTAAATGAGTGCGTTTATTGTCAAATGACTTGGTAATGATACCTTACAGAAACAAGTTTCAGAAGAAAAATTCTATCATCATGAAATCTATTGTTTCAGTTTAACATTATACCAATGATGATAGTGTGGGTAAATGAAGTCATATTTTCAATATTAATAGAACTTAGATATCACTATAAATATATGTCTTAACTATTTATTATGAATGGATAGACTAGGTAAATGATTTTGTCTCTTCAATTCCTCAAATATGTCATAGTACTAATTGAATGAAATATTTTCAATATTTCCTTATTCTTTTATCATTTTCATAGTATAACCCATTACGAGTATGGCTTTATCGCGAAGGTTTTGCACGTTTATCTGGTACTCGATATACAGTAGAAAGTATTGAAGATACCTGTAAGTATTATTCTGAATAAATAAATCAAGTACAATGTTTTTTAAAAGATGTACATATTACTAACAATGCGATTCAAAAAACGGCACCAAACTATGATCCTGATAAAGGTAAAAGAAATATTTTCTAAATTTTGAAAGATTTATTTCTTTTTTTTTATTATTCAGGCTATAAATGGTCCATGGGTCGTGTTCGACAATATCTCATAGCCAAACATGGTCATGAAATTGTATGTCTTGAATTTTCTAATCAATTAATCATTAACGTATTTTAATTTAAGGTTGATATAATGTTTAAACAAATGGATGATATATTTATTAAAAGTCTTCAAAGTGTTCAAAAAATTATGATTAATGATAAGCATTGTTTTGAGTTATATGGTTATGATATATTACTTGATGCAAATTTAAAACCTTGGTTAATTGAAACAAATGCATCACCATCATTAACTGCAAGTAATCAAGAAGATAATGAACTTAAAATACGTCTTTTAGATGATATGCTTAATGTTGTTGATATGGAAGGACGTTTAACAGGCAAAGAAAAACGTATTGGAGGTTTTGATTTAATTTATAATGATGGTCCTGTTTATTTTGATGAAGCCGGTGTTGAAACATTTAATCTAAATACTTTACGTTTAAATAGTTTTCTTGGTAAAATTTACAAAGTTTTGTGTAAGTTTTTTTTTTTTAATTAATTTGTTTTTTGTTTAGGATGTGCCAATGATCGAAATGTACAACTTCGACATCTTTATCGACAAAATCAATTAATTAAACGAATGGAAAAAGCTGCCGCTGCCGCTGCAGCAGCAACATCAAACAATACTAATTGATTTTTAGTTTGTATTATCTAGTCGAGTTATATTTATTTGTAAATAAATATGCAACAAAGGACGGGGGGCGATTTCTACAGAAATCGGCCCAATTGAATTTTAATGATCTGCTCGGGTAGAAACAAAGGAAATGATGGTAGAAAGTATACCTTATGGTTTTCAAATGATTTTACTAGGTATTTACAAGTTCAGGATCCGATTACTTCTTCAATTTTCTGTGTATACATTGGGGCATCTTTTGGTTGTCAAGTTTTACATATATGTACTTGTTACTTAATTCAAACCAAATGAATTATATATCAGTAGATAGGGCGTGAAAAATACTTCAAAATCCTATATGACAAATCGTTTATCAAAAATGTAAAAAAATAATTTCTTGCCGAAATACTTGTTGAATACCGTTCAATTACTGCGCTAGTGTCCAGTATAAACCATCCTATGCGCTGAGTTAGAGTTTCCCCACTATGAATTTTATACCATTCGATAGAGTTTTTCATGGGCTACAAATCCATGTATAATTTGTTTGCAAATAAAGCTGCGAACATCTCTCGAGTCCAGATTGTTTCGTTGAGATCAGCAAAAATGGCATTTTTTGACCGGTATTCAGTGGTTTTGGTCATAATCATTACTGTTTTAGTCAAAACAAATGGCATATTCAGAATCACCAGAAAAAATAGGGTTGATGTATGTATGTTCCAAACTTTCCTGATGACTTCTATTTTCGGTCAAAACCTCAGCGCTGGTGCCCCTCAGGGCTCCCTCAAGAAATAAGTCGAAAAATAAAAGTCATCAGGAAAGTTTGGAACATACATACATCGACCCTATTATTTATGGTGATTCTGAATATGCCATTTGTTTTGGCTAAAACAGTAATGATTATGACCAAAACCACTGAATACCGGTCAAAAAATGCCATTTTTGCTGATCTCAACGAAACAATCTGGACTTGAGAGATGTTCGCAGCTTTATTTGCAAACAAATTATACATGGATTTGTAGCCCATGAAAAACTCTATCGAATGGTATAAAATTCATAGTGGGGAAACTCTAACTCAGCGCATAGGATGGTTTATACTGGACACTAGCGCAGTAATTGAACGGTATTCAACAAGTATTTCGGCAAGAAATTATTTTTTTACATTTTCGATAAACGATTTGTCATATAGGATTTTGAAGTATTTTTCACGCCCTATCTACTGATATATAATTCATTTGGTTTGAATTAAGTAACAAGTACATATATGTAAAACTTGACAGCCAAAAGATGCCCCAATGTGTACACAGAAAATTGAAGAAGTGATCGGATCGTGGACTTGTAAATACCTAGCAAAGTCATTTGAAAACCATAAAGTATACTTTCTACCATTATTTCCTTTGCTTCTACCCGAACAGATCATTAAAATTCAATTGGGCCGATTTCTGTAGAAATCACCCCCCGTCCTTTATTTAAAATTCGTATTAAATTTTCTTATGTTCAAAATTGAGTCATCAATTTTGAGAGATGATCGTCTTTCGATGGATATGTTTGTTTTATTTTATAAGACACATCGATTAAGGTTTTTGATGCACTTCAGTCAACGTTCAAACACTTTCTAGTGTTTATTCACGAATCAGATTATTTTTATTAATCAATTTTTTTATATTATTTCTGTGATGTAGTGACCAATAACACTGGTGATTTTCCTTATCAATATTTTAGTGTATGTTGGAGTTTTCTTTGTTGTTGTATTTCTGCTCATTCACTACGTATATTCCTTTCATTCTATTGAATATTCCATTATGTCGTTGCACATGCATATATATATATACGTGTAATCGTTCCTGTTATTATTTAGTTGTTCTTATTCATATTGTTTCTCTCGTTCTTCATGTCATGAAGAAACTGTCTCTGTTAGTTTCTTCGCTTCTCACGTAGTAAATAAACTACGTATTCACCTTAATTTTTTGACTTTCTAAACCAACGTCAATACATGACAATTTCAATCAATGTTTCGATGTATTTCGGGTTCTTTTGCTGAACATAAAAACAATATCATTGGTCAATATGTATACTAAGGAGAGAAAATATATTCATCTTGATTTGGGCATTCTTTTGACAAGCGACAATGTAATAGGAAAAAACATGAGGTTGTTTATCAATGAGATGTAAATCTCCAACAAGTGGCATAGATGAAAGAGGTAGAAATGAAATGTGTCTATCGAATGGCACATAAAACATTGTGATGTTATTATTTTTCAAGTTTCTTCTCTATTAAACCCTTAATTAAAACACTTTCTTTATCAAAAAGTAGCGCTTGAAATTCTATACAAAATGGAATACTTTATTTAACAAATATTATCTCCTACCTTTGTTTTGATTAAATGTAATCGTACTGTAAAAATAAGTACATAATTTAAAATTTTTTATCTTTCAATTGTTTGACTGAAGTTTTATTTTGTCTGCCAATGTTACCCTTTTTGTTACATGGCTTCAGCTCATAGTTTCAGCCAATTCATTCCATAAGCTATAATCTAATGCACATAAATCAGGTGAATTTGGTGATGAATGACACTTTAGGATGAGTACAGGAAAATTATTAGGGCATTATTTTCGCCCCAGATCATTTGTGTGAGATTTTGCACCGTCCAGCTTATATGTCTAGTTGTTTTCTAAATATTTTTGTCAGATTTTAGAGTTATTGGAAGAATTTCATTAATGTGTCTTTCAACATCCATGGCTTCATCTCCCAAAATCATCGACACTGTGAATCCTCGTTCACATACACCCACGCTACACCATCGTCTTTATCGGACACTTTGTTTTCTCATAAATAGTACCTTTTCTATTCACAGCCCACATGCAATCGTACTGAGTATTGTATTTGCCATCTAAATAAAAAACAAATTCTCGTCAATAAAAAGACATCTTTTGCTGTCATGTTTGGTGTAATTATTTAACATCCAATTCTCAAACTGAAATCTCTTCTGTTTTTGAAGATCAGTCTATCTTGGTTGCTTAATTTTCTTGTACTAAAAACAACCAAGAGCTTCAAGTAACATTTGCTGTAGGCTTGTTCTTGGAATATTCATTTCAACAGCTCATCTTCTTGTTGACACCTGTTTCTTCTGACCAAAGTGCCATTTTGCCTTCAAAATATTGGCTTTTGCGCAAGTTGTGCATGAACAACCAGAAGCGTATAAGAGATTGATAGAGCTAGTGTTTTTCATCATTTTTATCTATAAATTAATTGCCCACTTAGAAACCGTCTAGCTCAAATCACAATAGGTTTTTGCCGGCCAATCATAATTTTTCATCAGTTCTCAAAAAAATGAGTCGCTTCATTGAACTGCCAGCTGTCGTAGGTCTAGTTGTTACAGGCTTTCTTATTGATTAGATATCCTTATTTATCAATCAGAAATTATAATCTTCTTCCAGCCGAATTTATTAGTTTGGAATACATTGCACAATTTATTCTTTTCCAGATCTTTATAATTTTTTTCAGTCTTTTTGGAACATCAATGTTTAGTAAAAATAATCGAAATGACAATAAATATTGAAAGAACAATTGAGATTTGAGAAATGTTGATAAAAATTTATCTAAACAAACGATACACAATGTTTATGACTTAGAATATAATCAATCTATGTTCGCGCCAATTGTATAAATATGTTATAGAGATCTCATAAATATTGAAACAGTTGTATTCTGCATAATCATTCCAATCTATATCTATTTTGATATTATTCTGTATACACTTTTCCTCCTTTTTTTCAAGCAAACTCTCTGTTTTCTTATTTTTGGTATCTGGAGAAAAATATTTCTAGAATCTTAACCGATATATGTCCATTATCATTAGGAACAGAGATATAAAAAATTCGGCTAACATTTGCTAGTTACGTACGATTAGACAGCAAAGTTTCAATGATTTTAGATTTTTTTCTGAGCAAGAAAGATCGACTTTTGCGAAAAGATTCAAGACTTTTGGGACACCTTTTATGTATGAATATAAATAAACATTATAATCTAATTGTAGGTGTGAGTCAATTCAATAACTGGTGATGCAAAAGTTCTTGCAGAAATGTTGCTCTATTTTTTATCAGTTAAAACACGTTCTGAGAAATCTGGAAATAGCTATTTGGAATCTGTATTGAAAGCGCTTTCTAACTGTATGATCAAAAAAGTTTCTATCATGTATCATATTGAAGTAACAAATACATCTTTCCATCTTACTAAAATGTGTGCTGTGAAAACTGCAGAATATAACTATGACAGAAAGACACTTAACCTCTCAGTATATTTCGTTTTTCTTCAATAAGTTTCGTTGTATTTTCTGTCCTTTTGGGTTTCTTTCGGCTCATCGGTAAATCTTCTAAGAACTTACCAGTAACGCGTACCTCATTATTTTAGGTAGCCTAATGCGAAAACTGAAAACGACACTACGAAATGATGAAAAAAAACTAAAGTGAAATACGGTGATGATCTATTAAGATATTTTCGAGATCCGAATAATGTCATTCCTAATCAAAACAAATAAAATGTTGATTCGAGATGCTCGAGCTATGAATATATCGGAGTTCTTACGTCGCAAAGTCAGGGACATGAAAAACGCGAACATCAAGCTGAAAAATGGCAAGAATTCTGCATTGATCTTTTTCAATGTCATTTCGAAGAATCTCATGATATTTTTCATCCTGGTTATTGAAAATAGAACGTACAATCCAAAAGATACAATAACGAAACATTCCAATAAATTGCGCAGATATAAATAAAAAAACACTGAGGAATCAATCATCTTGTGACGGCTGTTCGAAACTAATTTTCTTTTACAGAATACATTTTAGTAAGGTGGAAAGATGTGTTTGTTACTCTAGTACGATACATGATAGAAGTTTTTTGATCGTACAATTAGAAAGCGCTTTCGACACAGATTCCAAATAGCTATTTCCAGTTTTCTCACAACATGTTTTAACTGATGAATAATGGAGCAACATTTGTGCAAGAACTTTCGTATCACTCGTTA